GCGGAGAATCTTCCGATGTATTGGAAGTGGGGGTACGATCTTTTCGATATTCCGTTTCCAGTTTTTTCAAATTCTTCTGCGGAGGTCCCTTCGCGAATATGTGAAGCAACGCCTATCCAACATAGAAGACTTTACTAAGTACTAGTCGATAATACTGTTCTAGCAGATTATTGTGCGCTACAGAATGGGCTCAGACCTCTTTCTAAAGGAGATAGAAGTGTTGGTGAATTCTAGAAATATCACGCGTTTTCAAATTCTACTCGCCATAACTTCCTTCGGAATAAGTATATTTTGAATCCGAAAACACCGCCTTGCTCAGCTCATCAAGTCGAATCTTTTGATACACAGCATGTCCTTAATATTTCGATTTCAGTATTCTTAGATCTTTCTGAGGACGTCTCTTCGCGAAGGTGTAAAGCAGCGAGCATTGTCCGTAAATTCCAGCAAGGATCTTTCGGTTGAACTTCTTCTGTAGATTATGATGTGCTTAATAGTAGCCGCAGATTTCTTTTCAGAGGTAAAAGGGCTGATGATTTGTGGAAAAATCTTGTCGTCCGAAATTCTACTTGCCATAGCCCTAATACGAAGCTCTCTTGCTAAGCAGATGTGACTTTCGTAATCAGCAGGTCGGATAACCCTTATGAGCAAGTTTTCCGAGATGTTCGGGTAATTTCATTTTTTCTTGTTTTACGCTCCGGAAGCTCGCCGATGGATTTTGGTCAAAATATTGATGATCTTGGATTGTGCGGAAAGCTTATAGAGGCTTTCGAACACGCTCTTTACGAAAATCATGGTCTTTGAGGATTAAAGGGTCTTTTTGGAGAGATACGGTGAGGTGACTGTAACTGCACCACGAAAGTGCGTAAATTTGCCCGCACTTTTCGCGTATCTGTCGGAAAACTTGCCTGCTTGCTTTTCTAATTCAAAGTTACTATGAATTGCGCTATCGAATGGTGCGTGACTCAGGCTCCAGTCCGTGAAATTCGTCGAGTTACGAGCCTACGAAAACACGTCCTATGAATTTCTTATGAATTTTGCCCAAAATGTAAAGATCGCATATCTCGTCGAAATTCCTCCGTGAGTGCTTGTACAACACGCTTATCAAATCCTTCCACATTTTTAATGGATCTTATTGTGTTAGATTTGGTGTTTTGGGCTCTAGCCACGAAATAGCTTTGATATTCAATTGAGCAGCTGCAGCACACGCAAGCACCATATTCAATACAGTGGGAGTCGTTGGACGAAGCGAACATAATATCTGCAACGAGACGAAATATGCGACCTTTACATTTTGGGCAAAATTCATGAGGCGAACGTGTTTTCGTAGGCTCGTAACTCGGCGAATTTCACAGACTGGAGCCTGAGTCACGCACCATTCGATAGCGCAATTCATAGTAACTTTGAATTAGAAAAGCAAGCAGGCAAGTTTCCCGACAGATACGCGAAAAGTGCGGGCAAATTTACGCACTTTCGTGGTGCAGTTACAGTCACCTCACCGTATCTCTCCAAAAAGACCCTTTAATCCTCAAAGACCATGATTTTCGTAAAGAGCGTGTTCGAAAGCCTCTATAAGCTTTCCGCACAATCCAAGATCATCAATATTTTGACCAAAATCCATCGGCGAGCTTCCGGAGCGTAAAACAAGAAAAAATGAAATTACCCGAACATCTCGGAAAACTTGCTCATAAGGGTTATCCGACCTGCTGATTACGAAAGTCACATCTGCTTAGCAAGAGAGCTTCGTATTAGGGCTATGGCAAGTAGAATTTCGGACGACAAGATTTTTCCACAAATCATCAGCCCTTTTACCTCTGAAAAGAAATCTGCGGCTACTATTAAGCACATCATAATCTACAGAAGAAGTTCAACCGAAAGATCCTTGCTGGAATTTACGGACAATGCTCGCTGCTTTACACCTTCGCGAAGAGACGTCCTCAGAAAGATCTAAGAATACTGAAATCGAAATATTAAGGACATGCTGTGTATCAAAAGATTCGACTTGATGAGCTGAGCAAGGCGGTGTTTTCGGATTCAAAATATACTTATTCCGAAGGAAGTTATGGCGAGTAGAATTTGAAAACGCGTGATATTTCTAGAATTCACCAACACTTCTATCTCCTTTAGAAAGAGGTCTGAGCCCATTCTGTAGCGCACAATAATCTGCTAGAAAAGTATTATCGACTAGTACTTAGTAAAGTCTTCTATGTTGGATAGGCGTTGCTTCACATATTCGCGAAGGGACCTCCGCAGAAGAATTTGAAAAAACTGGAAACGGAATATCGAAAAGATCGTACCCCCACTTCCAATACATCGGAAGATTCTCCGCGCCGAGCTGAATCGAATGGTGGCTTTGGATTCAGAATCCGTCCACTCTGAAGCGAGATATGGCCATCCATACATATAGCGACATGTCCATACATGTCCATACATGTCCATACATTCGCGTCTATTTTTCAAAAAATGTGAGCGCTATTGTAGAATGACGAGATACTTACAGTAAGCAGAATCAGCTGGTCTTTGGTGCGAACTGGGTGCAAATCAGCGTTGCTGGCAGTCCATCACCTCTCATCACCTCTGCTAAATACGTCGCGGTAAGTCTTTCGGGGGTATGTCAGTTCCGTTCACCCAAAATTCGAGCGCTCTTGCATTTTTAAACTGAGAATATAAGGTTCGTGCAGTACGTTGTACCGACTTTTGCATTCATGTGTGCGCATCACTATCACGTAGTAGCCTGTAGTGAGCAAAGCAAAGTGTAATCACTGCAGTCGCAACCATTGTGGAAGACCGTCGTGATGACGATGAACACGCCTAATCATTGAGCGGATTGAAGCAAGGACGCTGTACGAGTTCCTACTGTTGGCGTCTTGGGTCGATTATCTGACTACTCTCCATTTCTTCACACCTACGTTCATTCTGTGAGATGATCAGGTTCCAGTTAAGGCGCTAGGGTTCAAACGCATGGCGAGTAGAAATCTGCGCTTATGAAAAAAACAATTGTCACGTTTCGGACCCGTGCAATACATGTTGCATCACGCGTCTTTCCAATGATTTCTCTAGTTCTACAGAAGTTTTTTTTACAGATTATTGCGCTCTAGGATGAGTTACTGAAGCCGTGCCAGGTTAGTTTAGGCCATAATGACACATCGACCAACAATCGCAGAATAATGCGGTAAGCCTAACGGCGTAGGTGGCGTCGCAAGTTCTGTTTGTCTTGTTTGCTGAAAGAGTACAACGCTTGTAATAAAGATGTGTACCCTCGTACACCATTTGAGATTGTCCCTTGTGGGCGTCGTTTTTTTGGAAGATAATCTAAAAATATTCTATGATGACGAGGCCCTTTTTATGTCGCAAACTAACGATTGCGAATATGTTACGTTGTGTAAGAAGTTTTGTCCATTTTCCTCTTTCAATTTTTTATCAATGATATTCACCTTATTTGGAATAATGCGTATATGCTTTTGAAAGCTCCAAGTCTGCTCTGCAAAACCGTATGCCTCATCCCTCTACTTAGCGGGATAAAAAAATTATGGGCTTCAGAGGAAAAAACCCGAGGAGGCAAAAATTCCATTTTCAACATCAAGTTTCTCTCCAACTTTCCCCGTTTTCCATTGGTATTTTTCATTCAACAGCTTAACAGCAAACAAAACAGCCTATTAGACTGTTATGTTTGCAATGTCACAGTTGTGCTTGTTCCCTTCCTTCTAACGACTTTTCGAAGTCTTTTTTTTTCAGAAGACGACAAAGCAAAAATTTGCTGCGGCGATGTTCGTCGCCTCGCCTACCTAAGCTGTGTGGCCTGGCCCCCAAACATCGAATTTTTGAGTAACTAGCTTAAGAATTCGATAATTTTGGAGGACCAGAGACCAAAGACCATCCCTTTTGCTATTTCTTGATTATCCGTCTATCGTCCATTCTCAGGAGTGACCACGGTCAACATTGAAAAGACCTTAGAAAGAAGACTTTTTGAGTTTGAAGAAAAATTTTTACTTTCCAGCACTTCTGAATCACTGCAGAAGCTATAGCATTCTTTTCTTACGCACAGCAGATTTTTTGAGCTGTTTTGTAAGCATTCTGACCTATACGGGGAGGGGGGGAGGAGGAGGAGGGCGACTCAAATCAATATAAAATGGGTTTGTTTCTCTTTGGTATCCCATTGATGCTAGAAAACTTTTCAAATTCTACCGATGTAGGAAAATGAAGTGAAGATTTTGGTGGAGCATACTTAGTGCTTTCAGATGCATATACACATTTTGCGAAACACCGTGCAAATACCGTGAGAAAATCGAAAGAAAAAATAGGAGAGGACTTATTACACAATCTAATACTTTTAATTCGAGTTTAGAAGTTGTTTGACATGTTCATTGAAAATATGCTACCCAACCCAGGAGGGGGGGGGGGGGGTATTTATGAATCTCCCACTTGTTATTCGGGCCATTGTTAACTAGAGCCCGGACAGGCGAGAGTGTCAACCCGTGGTTCATCAAATGGTCATCTGGAAAGTTTGGCCATGTCAGGGCATGGCAGTCGGGCAACAGAGCCCGATCTCGACGGGTCGGGCTCCGCTACCCCACTGCCGTTCCCGACATGGCCAAACTTGCCAGATCGGACCATATTCTTCAATAGACAGGAGCCCGATCACCGGCTTGGCTTCACATATCGCGGGCGCCAGTGCCCGCGCCTGTACGGGCTGTTACCTACACAGGAACCCCTTCCTATATAGGAGCTTGATAAATACCGCCCCAGGTCTCTTTGTTAACTTGGCAGAAAGTACAGGCCAGACTCTTTCGTCGCCGCGAATTCGCGTTCAATCATATTAGCACACACCGGGTCCTGTCGCGATTTTTCCCATTATTGGTTCAACAGATCCCACAAGTTGTTCTAGTACAAAATACCACTTACATTCTTTAAAAAAAAACGATTTAACCTTTCACGTTCTTTGAAATGCACGAGATGATAAGTTACTTTCACAACAGCTTTCAAGTAGCTTTACTATCACGAACCTTACCGAAGCGATTGAGTATTCGACCGATGGGAGTTGTATCAAAGAACTGCATGGGTAAATGGAGAACGTTCCTCAGGATACCTTCGTGTAACAAACGAGATGCTCCGACCATTCCCAAAGCCATGATAGTCGGAGCTGCACACATGAGAAGTGCTGTAAGAAATCTACGTGATTCTAAGTAGGCAATTGTGGATCGGGTTGTTTTGAGATTCTCTTCCAAACTGAGATCTGATTGAAAATCAGCAGTTTTGCGGTCATAAATGCTAATTTGCTTCTCTTTCAGCAAAATCTTCCACGAAACTTCTGTATATACAATAAGTACACAGATACTCTCAACATTCAGAGTATAATTGAATGCTCCCAAACGAAAAAGGCATGTCAGTAACCAAGGCGTGACATACTACGTTGTCTTTCATCCTATTTGAAAACGAAGCGCTCTGGCTTTCAATAAACTTACGAGTTCCATTTTATACATAGCGAAGCATACAAATAACGCATTTCAACGAAAACGCAAGATGCGAAAACGAATTTTCAGCTTGCCTACGATGTCGATACATAGCAATAAGTATGAGGCGATAAACGAACAATAGGCACCATGCATGTGAGAAGAGAGAGACAGTGAGAGAGAGAGGAGAGAAAGAGAAAGAGAGAGAGAGAGAAAAAAAGGAAAGAGAACAATTAGACAGAAGTTGACGCAACTGAAAATTTCAAAATAAGCGGCATTTGCGACAGAGTGGATAGGAGCGCAGTATCTATCATAGCGAGTTTCCGTTCAATTTAAATGGGAGAGGCAACGATATAAACCTTACTGCTAAACGATAGATTTTAGAATGAAAAGTGGTATATGTTGGAACAATTCAAAACTCATGTGATCTCGCAAATATGGCCCGCAGTAAAGCTCGATCAGTTCAGGAGAACTGAACTTAACCCATAAGTTGAGCTTAGGTGAGGTGAACTGAGACCGCCCCCCTTTCCATGCTATATGCATGGCGAGTGAACTGATAGTTGACCATCCGTCCACCTGCTGCAGTCAATCTTGCACATCAGTTCATGTTCAGTTGAACTGAACGTGAACTGATGTTAGACGAATGCAAATAGTGTGGAAAAGAGGAGACGCAGAGAGGACTCCCGTAAGTTGCTCCTGAGTAACTTACGATACACACCAATTTTGCCTAACACTGCAGACAAAATCGGCGCAAAACTGCACAACCGCGCTCGAAAAGAAGAGGATCGATGAACAGCTGATTTTGGCGAGGAAAACAAAAAAAACAAATCCTTCTTTTTTTTGTAAACTTTACTGATTTTTTTAAAGCTGTCCAAAACGAGAATTCATTTGTTCAATTCATTGAATTCACGCTGCAACCATTTCGTTTTTTCATGAAATTTTCGTCACAAAATGTGTTTTTGTTTTATCCGCGCATTTGCTAGGCGAATCCTTGATAGCGGTCATCATCGATTGCGATAGTGGCAGCTACCAAAGATTGCCCGGCGATGCAGCAAAAGGTGTATCGCTATACAGATAGAACCACAGCCGCGCGCTTTTAATTCCGACCGCTTACCCGTTTGACCACATCGGCTCAAGTGGTCACTTTTTCAAGAACACATTGAAAGGAAGCGATCTGCATCCAGATCAATAGCTCGCTGGATGCTAGACTGAGCGCGATGAAATCAGCTGCGGTTCGTCTCAAGGGAACTGCCCTGATGGGTTTACTACAGGCCTATATGTGCTCCAGGATGACCCAGTCGTCCTGATTCTCCGTTCAGAGTGCCGGAGCTGTGCCGACTTGAGACAGCGCTGCGCTTTCTCAGCGTTGGCACAGCGCTACCGCAGCTTTCTATGGAGAATATTAGGTCAAATGAATTGAAATGTTTTACATAATACTTTTGCAATTGATCTTATACAAAGCTGGATATCAGTGTATTTTCCAAGTAGAAAATTTTATTTCTGAACCGATTCGTACACAACTTGACACACATTCAAGAGGGGGCGGATGTCATAGACTCCTTTTCGTTACTGATCGATAACGATTTCATCGATTTTGAAAACTTTGAGCTAGGGGGCTGGGATTTGGCACAGGGGTAAGTGGGCACGCTAATTACGAAAACAAAACGGAGATAGGGAACTTGAGTACAGCGAAAGGTTGTAGAAGAATACGGTTGTACCTTTATCATACTATTATGATAGGCCGGGCAGAACCGGATATGTCACTTAGTAAATCTATATATTAGGTTGTGTAATAAGTTCATTCGCGTTTTTTATTTCAGTTTTTTCTCAATATTATGCAAAGCTCGGCAGCATTCTTGCAAGCATTCGGAAGCTCTCAGTCTGCTCTACCGGAAGCTGTCATAGTTTTCTCAATTCTTGAAGGGTTAAATGAAAATTCGACTACAGAGCGGAAAATCCAAGAGGGCGAAAATTCTATTTTCGACAACTATGTTACGCTGCGTCTCAAATGGCTTGAACGCTTGGAAACCGGTTCGAAAAGTTTGCGACGTGTATGAATAAAATGCTGTACCTCCCGCAAACAACTTATACGTGTAAAATTCCTTAAAAATTCATAATACAAGCTTGCAGATGAATCTGCCGCTTTTTGACGTCTCTTCGGCTCAACTTTAAGCATCTGAAGGTACCTTGAGAGAGGATGGTCGCCGAAAAACACAGATTGACAGAGTAAAGTGTCTTTGATCATAAAGTCATCGATTACATGGGTTACTTACTCTCAAATTCAGTTTTTGGGGGACACATAAGTCATGTACGCGAAACGACGAACGCCTGTGCGGCAAAGTCTTGTTCCGCCGACTACTGCAAATATGGCATTAAAAGGTCGATGAAAAGAGCAGAGCAAGCATAAATAGAGGCAGTGAGTGCACAAGTGATAGTCTGTCGTCTCCCAATGTCGTCAGATTTTTTAACACGTTCCGGACCTCGAAATCGCGCGCGGCGAAAAAGAGTGTACTTTCAGCCACTAGCCGACAAAAGGACCTTATTCCGTGGACTGTGTACTACATCTGTAATCAGCGTGTCAAATAAGTTCCATACCCAAAGTTCTGAGTGAATTCGAAGTGTTTGAATTTTGTCCCTTGAAAAGGACTTCTGTACTTTCTTGAAAGATAGGAACAAGAACACGTTTCTAATTGTATCCAAAAGCATCTAGGTCGTACACGGTACACATCATAATTGAAACTACGTTTTTTCTCTTTGATATCGAAGCAAAGAAAGGTTGCGACGTCGCACGCGTCGTTCGCGTTGCCGCACCTCGTTGCAACTGTTGTTCGATTTGTGGTCATATCTCCTGAAAAATATCGGCGGCACAACTCTAAAGAGTCATTTGAAAAGTAGGAGCTTAGGCCTTTGAATTGATAACCTTAGATTAAAAGAAAACCTGTAAACGTCAAGAAGATTCTTCAAATCAGCGTGGTGTGCACAGCACCGGTCCGAAACATGTTAACCAGTTTTTATTAATGATTAAAGGCAGCGCTTGGCCTGGGCTTACTCATCCCGCTGAATGCGAAAATGCAGCTTACAGAGTACGAAAATGTTGAAAATGGGCTATTCCAGAAGCTGTTGAATTTGAATATGAAAGCTTGCCGCCGAGGTTGAGACGCAGAGTCGTGTTGGGACCCTAAGTCCTGACTGTGTGCGACATACGTACTCTGGATATCGATAGAAGGGGCGGGCAGGTCGTCGGGGGCGTCCTGGTCACCACTTCTGAAGCGGTTTACTCACTTCAGGTGCAAATTAGTGCACTGCCAGTTGGGCAGGAGCGCTTTACCAGAACGGGAGTCCCTATGCGTTAAAATTTCGTATCTGACGCTGCCTCTAACGGGAGGAACTAAGAGAGAAAGATGTCGAAAATGGAATTTTTGCCTCATCGGATTTTTCGGTTTGCAGTCGAATTTTTCAATCAATTTCTCAAAAATTGAGAAATTAATGATAGCAATTTGGTAGAGCAGACTTAGATCTTCCGAATACATACAAATATCTTGCCAAATCTTTGCAAATTACTGAGTAAAAACTAAAACAAAAATGCGAACGAACTTATTACACAACCTAATACATATGCCTGTCCGTGCGCTGTTGAAAGCGATTTGTTTATTTTTATTGATCTTGCAATCAAATGCGCGCATTATTTGAATAAAATGGTGGAGCAATACGGTGGGGCATGTCTATCTTGTGATAACTCTTTTCTAAGGTGTGTTCGTCTGTAGTCGCTTATATGCTTGCATAGCATTTTTTACGATACCACCTTTGCTTTTCACCTCAAATACGAGTTTCAGCGTGCTTCCATGACTTCTTCGCTGGAGATCGTCGATAACTGAGGAAATCTGCCTGAGATAACAGAATCTCAATGAAGCTCACCTTGGCCAACGCCTAAAGATGCATATATTGCTAAACTTTTTTTCATGTTACTAGTGCCGTTGCTCGTCTTTTGGATCAACTCATCATCAGTCCATTTCGCAAGCCACAAGTTACTGGCGACCTAAAGATATGTTTGAAGAAAGAGCAAGTATGAGTTGGAAATTCAAACACAAACCCCAAGAATGCCGCCTAGAATATGTGTTGCAATGAAGATCAAGACAACTGCGAAGCCGATAGCACGCATGTAAGTAATATATACGGCCCATTTCACCTAAAGTTTGTTTCTTGTTTCCTTTCCTCGAAATGTAATCTCAGTACCTTTCCAATCTCCATTCCCTCTTTTTCAATCAATTTACTCATCTGAACCTGTTTTTTCTCCTTGATCAAAAGTGCGATCTTCTCTCCAGTCTTGGCATCAAGAATGTTTCGTTCTTCTTCTATGTAGTCGGCGCCGACAGCACTACCGTTCGTTGTGGGAGAAGGCGGAGATAATTTCGAAACGGACCCCTGCACGACCACAAACTGTCTTATAGAGGGCAAGCGTTAGACATCGGTCATACTTCACGCGATCTCGATAACGTGTGATTTGGCGCTGCCCAAAAATTCACTGTTTCACCGAGCGCAGATCTCGAATGCAGGGGCGCATTGTTTCCTTCAGTCGATGCAAGCATGTCAAGTTTTGCATCTGAGAATGCGCTTATGGAGATTATGAGCCATTGTAGCAGTGCCAGATCGCGCGATATCCGAGATTGCGCGAGGTATGACTGATGCTTTAGGCCCCGGGCAAACTTCACGCGCTTTGATCGTCGCGACTGAATCGCGAGGAGACAACTGTTACAACATCATTCCATGCTGATCAACTTTCATTCGGTTGTGATACTTTTCTAGCCCGAAATTTTTTGAATATGAAATGAAAATGAATGGAAATCTTGGCGATTAGATCGCGACGATTAAGTCGCGTGAAGTCTGACCGGGGCCTTAGGCAACAAGGCGTGCAAAACGCAACCAATGCAAAACCTCGCAATCTCGCAACAGTTCTTTTGCGTCATCGAGTCATGTATTGGCCCCCACCCCTTGTATCTGCCGCCAAAAACGTTCGGAGAGCGTTACTTTGGTCCCCAAAAAATGGAGTTGTCGCTAGATTCTCCACAGCCTCCATTATGGAAACATAGTCACCTTCTCGTGGCCAGCCTCTTGACTCGACTGCGATTCTATTCTGCTTCTACGTTCTGGGCTGAGTTTCATCATTTCTTCCATTAATTCTGATACATCCTCTACAATAAGTTCTATCTGTTCTATCTGGTCAATTGTCAATGGATTAGGTAGTTCTACGACACATACCTGCTTTTACGGACCTTTCGCCTCGACCCCTCTTTTCCGTCTTTTCCACCAGGAACTGTTCAAGAAAATCGCTAAACGCTCCCTGTTTAGCAATCAGCTCTTGGTAGGGGCCCATCTCACTGATCTCCCCGTCTTAAGTAATATTATATATTGAGTGTAACTCTCAACTGTGTGCAGAGAACTCACTTCTTAAAACAATCACTTTGTCACAATATTTGAGGTAATGAAGTTCATGAGTTACTAGAATTCGTGTTGCATTTGATAGTAATCCACTTTTAGATGCTGAAGGTGTAGTGAGTCATTATGCTTTACAGAGAAGAACTTACAAATGACGTGCTTGAAGATATGCTTTCCAACATGAGAATCAACAGCACTAAGCGGGTCATCGAGAAGGACGATGTCAGGACGTGAGTAGATAGCTCGAGCTAGAGAAACACGTTGTTTCTGGCCTCCAGAAAGATTTATGCCCTGAATATCCTAGTCGTTTACTCGCTTTGCAAATGATACTACAAACCCTCTCGCCAACTTCAGTGAAGTCTTCTGCAGGTAGACTAGACAGGTCTTGCCTCAAAGCACAGGCGTCTACCACCTTGTCATAGAACAAACAGTCATATGTATGTCCGAAGAGTATGTTGTCTCTCAACGTTAAGTTTTGTATCCACGCTTTCTGGGGTACGTAAGCTATTGCGCCGCTTACATTGACGAATCCAGACACTTTGTTCATTTCTCCTGCAAGAAGCTGTGATAAGTCGAACAGAAGTAAGCTTCAATACAACGAGCACGAGCTTCAGTACAATTTATAATAAGGAAAAATTTCCTGTTTTATATTTACCAAGTTATGGCATTGGGGATGAGAGCGGCTATTTTACTAGGAGGTCATCAAGTAAGTATCGTCGATTCGTTGACTGTAAGGACTGGACATAACCGCGGAGCACGCGCCGCGAGGTAAAACGCTTGCTCCAATACAAACTCGCCATTGTTAAAATCGCGCACTCGCAACATTTTAACCGCGCCGCATGTGGTCCGCAGCAGTTGAGCAGTTCGTACGGCCAACGAATCGACGATATAAATAGCATCGGTGGCGTGTAATTCCGCGGAATAAATGCAACGTTGCGATGGTAATACGCTTGTATTAGCCAACGTATTAGTGCAGACATGTTCTTCGTGACTTCCGACTAGAGGATCTCATCTATGAGAGCGTTATCTCTACGTACTGTCAATTCTCTTGTACATTACTAGTTGTCTTGCTTTGGGCAAAATTCTCTCCAACCTTATCCCACAGCCTGCATTTTTGGCGAACTGAGACCTTTTTTGTGGATTTCACATGTGTAACTGAAGGATTGCTAGATTGCTGGATTAGAGGATTAAACCCTTGGATCGCCCTTGAATCAAAGGTGGGCGTACCTCACTGTTACTCAACTGTTTTTGACAGTACTTATTTGTAACATTCTGCTATTGACTTATCTGTCGCTAGAAGCATGGGGTCGATTTACCGTTGGTATAATCAGGGTCAAGCCGGGGGTGTGGCACGCCACACCTGGGGGGGGGAGGGGAAAGTCGTGTCGCGGGCGCCAACGAGGAGAGGGAGCAGTAATCGAGGTGACTTTAATGAGAATAGCATGTGCTAACACTGATTCAGATGACTTCTTAGGCAAGCAATGAGATATTGACCCATCACTGTTATCCTAAATTTACGAGTGCAAAACGCACCTTTTTCAATTTTTCAAGCGAGCTGCCCAACCGCGTCGTTGTGTTTCTGCAAACGAAACTTATACCGCTGGATAACCACATGCAATACGCAACACGGTAATGGGTCATTTGGTATGTTTTGGTGTGCTCAAGCTGGTAGTTCAGAGAAAAAGCAGGTGCGTCTTGTACTCGTGAAATTAGGGTACCTACCGTAAGCGTAAGAAATACGCCCTAGCAAGCATAGTGATTATCAAGCTCGGCACTTTATGGACATTGCAAACTGGGTTTTGTTGTTTGAAAGCGTGACGAACCTATGTTAAGGTTGGAGTCTGTCCGTCCATATCAGCGATTACGTAGAGTTTACAAAAGCGCTTTTCAACTCATATCAAAAATGCTCTTTGGACTCCATGACTATCGTCTGAGATGAACAAGAGCTTGAAAACTCCTCAAACCAGCTGTTTGTTGAAGCAGATTGACTTTTGGTGCTCTTGAAAGCAAAAAATGGAATGAACATCCCTCTTTAAAAAAAGGATGACAGGTCGCATATGTTCAAATGCTTCATATTTTAGTATGTAACTGTACAAAAAAAATTTCAAAGTCAGGGGACGGTATGGTGTTCAAAAAAAACCAGGTGTCTTTATAATTTTGTCTAGCTTTCGGTAGGGGTTTTTCCAAATTTTTCTATTTTTCTCCATTCGAACTCAACAAAATTGGAAGCCGTTTTGAGATGTTGTGATAGGTTAACAAGCGCACCACAGCAAAGTTTCAGACAGATTCATCAACAAGAACGCAAATTACGATGATTTCTAGAGTATCTTTATAATTATGTCCAGCACTGTATGACAGATTCATCAACAAAAACGCAAATTACGACAATTTCTAGAGTGTCTTTATAATTATGTCCAGCACTGTATAAGGTTTTCAGCGGAAAGCGAAAGCTGCGGCGATAAGGGCACGGCACTTTTGATGGGTTTTGGAGGTGGCTTTGTGGCTGCCGGCTGAGAGCCTTTGATTGTCTGAGAACTTGGTCCAGGCGGTTATTCGACATGTTATCAAAAAACGGTACTCATTGTGTTTGGTAGAGCCCTTTTGATTGTTATACAGTAATTCAGCGGGTCTCTTCGAGACACTATCAGGGGGGGGGGGAGGGGGAGGGGGGGGAGGGGTCGCATCTGGCGCTAGCGTGCCACACCATTTGCTCGACCATGGTTATAATCAGCATCAGAGATATCTGAGCCCTCAAAGACGACGTGTAGCAAAACCTAATCCCCTACAATTAGTACCTATCCTAGATGTAGGCCCCAGAAGAGGGGCACGCGTTGGTCCAGTCCTCCAATATAGTCTCTGAATGGAGATAAGGCTGAGTTCATATTGATCTGTAAGTTGGGGAACAGTTCCAGGTTCCAGCAAAGCGCACGATTTGTGCGATGTGCTGGAACCGTTCCGAACTTACGGATCATTTGAACCCAGCCTAGTGGTCCTGGAACCGCGAAAGTGCTATCAAGCCACGCCCGAAAGCCTTTGGATAGGGAAACTAGAAATCGGATTTTTGGAGGTTTGCACATTTTGAATTTCATAACCGTGATTTGGGCCACCGAAAGGCTCCAGAAAAACATGGAAGACGAATTTGGGTAGACTCTGCCTTCCGGTGAGACTTTCGAGGTTGTCTTTGTGTTGTTGTTTTTACTGTTTGTTGAAGTACTATCTCGATGTTTTTTGTCATTCTCTCTCGAGCACACTATGCTTGAACAAAAATAGAACATATAGGGCTTATCAAACTGAGTGTCGTTTGCACCAGCATCTCCATCTTCGCGCTGGGCTCTGGGTCTCTTCTGCGGCACATGTTCCCTAATCACTTCCAATCGACTGAGGCTCCGCCTTTCCCACGCTCGCCCTGGGAAAGTGCTTAGAGAGCAGTCCCACGGAAGAGACGCAGAGTCCAGCTCGAAGATGGAGATGCTGGCGCAAACGACACTCATTTTGATAAACCCTATAACTATGGCCACAAATGTTTTTTGCCCTCATAGGCCAATGGAAATTGTTCATTCAAGGATAACTCCATTATTTGATTTGATGAATTTTGTATTAGAAACAGTACCTGTAATGACTCAAATTGCTTACCTAGTATTGCTTGCAGCAAACTGCTTTTACCAGTACCGACTTTGCCAACAACAGCTATGAGTTGCCCTCTTCTAACAGAAAGATTGATATTTTTCAACGTTTCATTTCCTTGTTCTTTCTCCCAAGCAAATGTGCCGTTTTCAATCCTCAGAGCTTCCTCTGCAAGTTAACCAGTTTGATCTATAAATTGTTGAACGCATCTTGTGTGATCATCTTACCGCTACTTTTATTGCTTACAGCACCACTACTTATCTCTTCTTCAGCAAAGAATGATTTCAAGCGTCTGTTGCTGACACGACATTGTACGGCCTGAATTTTTGCCTTCTCATGTTATAGCTGAGCATCATTTTTTGAGAAATCGTCAAACGCTTGTCATACCTGACTATATATGATTGGAAAAACAGATAAGGGTAAGCGAAGGATGTTGAAAAGAGTAAGGGCCACAAATGTTACTTGTGGGGTCAAGACATTCTTGTTCGGGTCAATGACTACGAAGACAGCGAAGGAGAGCACAGCCACCTGAGTCCACAATTTCTAATTGATTTCATTAGATTCAAAAGAAGAAAACAGGCGCTTTACCAGGAATGGAAGGCAGGACCACAGTAAGTTGTAGCCAGCATTGAAAAATGCTAGTTTTTTGAGGACGTTGAGTTCCTTCTGTCGTATAATCAGCACCTGCAACAGAATGGTAAGGTGTCGTAGATTCGCTGACCGCACGGACTGCTCAAACGCTGCGGACCACGCGCGGCGCGACTGAAATGTTGCGGGAGCAGGACTTGTAAAACAACGCATTTGTATCGGGGCAAGCACTTTACTCGCGGCGCGTGCTCCGCAGTGATGTCCAGTCCGTGCGGTCGAATCGACTATATTGAGTATTCGAAAGATTGTGACGATGGCGCGATCGTGCGCGATACGCCACTTTCAACAACCGCATTTTCTTGGTCTTCATCTCTACTGTAATGGTTTTTCTGTTTATGTATGATAGTACTGGACGTTGGCAGTGAATGAGTTGAGCATTACGTGATGCCTTTTTGTATAGTTGTTTTGTGCCCATGTGGACACGAAGACCGCGATTAAATCCATCGTCACGATTTCAAAAATGACCTATAAGTGCATGGGCATGCATTAAAGGCACCGTCCACCCAAAATGGATGTTGGCGAGATTATGATGGCATACTAGTGTGGGCCCCCATACTAGACAAACCCCCAAGTTTCGCCGAAAAGACTGCTTCTGAAGCGAGAAATCCGCTCCGGAAGTAACAAAGTAGGCGGGGCGCCCCCGGCGGTCCACCCAACTCGAACTCAATGTTTTTGTCGCCTTCAGGCCTTCTGAAAGCCCTGATTCCGAATATGGAGTCGAAAATTCGCGAAACCCCCAAAAATCCCTGTTTCGAGAACCCTCTGCAACAAGTGCAGGCGAGATAAAGCATGCAAGTGGGCGGGGGGACCGGGGGCGCCCCGCCCACTTTTGTTACTTCCGGAGCGGATTTCTCGCTTTAGAAGCAGTCTTTTGCGGCGAAACTTGGGGGTTTGTCTAGTATGGGGGCCCACCCTAGTATGCCATCATAATCTCGCCAACCTCCATTTTGGGTGGACGGTGCCTTTAATAAACGTACGCAAAACCGCGAACGCAGTGCTGAGGCCGTTGGACAGCGGCAGTGAGTTGATGATTACAGTGGTAAAGTATGGACAACGGATCTTTTTCTTGACCTTTTTTTATGCGTAAATTTTTCCGTGAAACTCCTCTAATAAGCAGGATTCTTCGAGGCATTCCTGGGTTAAAGCTAAATGGCTGAAACGTTTTGAATTGACCGACAATTCTTTAGTTTCCATCATTCATTCTGAGGCTAAGGAGTCGAAAACGTCATCACGAAAAAAAAATCGGTTTTGTACAAACAACGTGTGCGAAGAGTTCTCGACTCCTAGCCTCAAAATGGATGATAAATTTGTTCATGTTTTCATAGTTTGTTAAACCGTTCTGTGTACGATGACAGGATAAGTTTAAAACCGATTCGCTTCTTATGAATCGAACCTATCTGCTCAGACAATTCATGGGAACCTCCCGCGGGGTATGGGAGAACTTTCCTCAGGACACCTAGGAAAGTTCCCTAGAGCCCTCGGGATGTTCCATTGGTCAACTTGAACATCATAGAACGTCAGCCGGCAAGGGTGTTATTCGGGTGTTATTCGATGCAGCACTTTATCTCCTTTTAGAGACATGGTTTCTGTTCCTGACACGAAAAGTCTTGGAGGATAAAATCGATAAAATTCATGTTTTTGTAGGCACCCCAAGCTGTCCCCGAAAAATTTAAAATTCGATATTTCGAACTCCGAAAAGCTCATCTGTATTGTAAAATTGGTGGTGAATCCTAATCCACTTTTAAAAGTATCAAAAATCGAGAATTTATTGGATTATGACGAGTCTGCGTCTCGTATGGGTCTGCTAAAATTCGATGGTGTTGTTTATGAATCTGTCAGATAATTATGGACAGCTCGGGAAGGAGAACGAAACTGTTTCGTATCCTATAAAGTTTGCTCTATTTATTCTTTACTTCTTCTTCGGGGAATCAGTACAAAAATTCAAAAAAAGCGAAACTTTGATCTAGATAAAAATCATGGGCCGCTTTTTGGTGATTTTTTGAGAGCTCATTTGTTGAACCGATTCAAAAATGACTATTTGTAAGAGCATGGAAAACTGCATCAAATATTGCCAAGATCTTATGTAAACCGTTGTTCTGGAGATGGTGTTCAATGAAAGAAAACAACTTTCGCGACGACCTAATACATCAGTTCCATGACTTCTTTCTTGTGCTCATGAGTTGGACTTTGTTTGTTTTTGTTTACCTACCCTACAGATTTCAATAATAATCCATTTGAATGCTGGGAAGAACATGAAAACTCCAAAACATGGGTATGAAATGCGTTCCAAAAATTCTCAAGAGAACAACGATGAGCGCAAAATTGCGCCGCAATTGAACATCACAACAACAAGTGGGTCTCGCGCTGAAGCTTCGACTTTCTTCCGGGCTGCTGGAATGCGGGAGAATAAGTTGTCTCGGTTAGTAACCTCCCTATCAAAATGCCGTTATCCGAATTCTCGTGACAGATTTGTTTAAGTCCCGCAGTCATTCTGCCGCTACACAAGTTTCCTTTGCGATCGAGTCAACCAGAATGTCTGAAAGTTTCGGCGACAATTTCCCATCCCCGGTTCCGCCTCTATTTGCTAGATCATGTTTCCACTATGTTTTCGTAATCAGCATGCCCACACTCTCCTGTGTCAACTCCCATCCCCGTAGTTCAAACTTTGCAAAAAATCGATAACTCCGCGAAGGTTATCACTAATTTCTGAAGTTGATATTATCCGTAATCAGCAGGCTCATGTATCCCCGCCCTCCTCCCAATGCTACTCCCAGCAATCGACATCGTTTGATAACGAAAAGCAGCTTAGGACACCAGCCCAGCCGAGAAGTGTATGTGTGCAAAGTATATTTGGGTCTAAATCGAACAAAAATTTGATCATTTGAATAGAATCGAACATTCGAATAAAATTCGTATTTGAGTTATGAGTTTGGTACAGAGCCAGCTGCTGAGTTGACAAGTTCGCTGCGTCTGCGTTTTTCTGCAAAACTCAATAATGCATTTTTTGACGTGATCAGCTTTGAAAAGTGGCGTACCCAGTATACCTGGGAAAATTCAAGCTTTTTTTCGAATATTCGAATACCGAATATATTCGAACTAGCTGGCTTACCCAGCTCCGTCCGGCCCTGTCAAAACACTATAATAAAGGTCCCATCCCTATCCCTGTACAGCCGTTCCCTGTGCTGTTTTCGAAATCAGCATGCTCGACTACCCCCCTAGGCCAAATTAGCGCCGTAGCTCGAACTTTGCAAAAATTCGATAAAATCGATAAAAGTAATCGGTAATTTTGAAAACTAGTATTGTATGTGGATCGCCATGTTCACGTACCCCCTCTGTGCCAACTCCCAGTCCTTTAGGTGAACTCTGCAAAATATCGATAAAAATCGATAAAATCGATATCGATCGATGACGGAAAGTAGCCTATGACACGCTCCCTGCCCCGAAGTATATATGTGCCAAGTTTGGTCTAAATCGGTTTAGAAATAAAAATTTCTATTCCGCACATACAGGCCCCGTAAAATCCAATTGCCCACGCGTAGCTTTGAACACCAACGCGCTGCGCGGCTGAAAACGTTTGGTCCCGAAGCGCTACAGGGTTTTTGCGAGCGACAATGAGCGCGCACCCTTTTTACACGTATTTTTTAAAGCTTTTGAAGGGAGTTTTTGTCAAGATATACCTTGCATTGACGAGAACAACATGATATTTGAAAAAAGATTTCTTGGAATTCAGTGAACGCCGACAGTCGTTCGCGACGACCGCTCGCCTACGCTGGTGTTTAAGGCACGGCGCGGGCAATTAGGTTTTACGGTGCCTATACGTACAGACAGACACACACTCAGCTGTATATATGAGAGTGAAAATTTCGAATGTTCGAATATCGAATATCATTTGACTTTCGAATATCATTCGATTTCCGAATATTATTCGAGAAATTAACTGTGTGTGTGATATTTAACATGGCCAAGCAAATAGTTTACAAGTATTGTGGGTGTTTGTAGTTCCCTTTCACACGACTACTACTCTGCAATACATGAAGTACTCATTTTTGAGCAAATTTGTGCATGCAAAAACTCTGTGCCAGGTTTTAACCATCAAAAGCATAAATATTTTCCTTTTCGACAGCGTGCTCTTCTGCGTCTTCAGAATACATTTCTTCTGAGCTGCTGTAGCTTCCACTGAGTTCTTGAGAACATCCGCAGCATAATAATCACTGTATATGTATACTGTCCAGTTGATGACCACATGGACTGATCGCAGGTCGAGGATCACGCTCAGCGCCGCTCGCCCGAACGCTCGTACCATACAAGTTGCTAGTCATAAGTCCTGCTCTAATACTCAACCGCGCCGCGCGGGTCTTCACAGCCAGTCCGTCCTGTAAACAATTCAACGATACTCATATGATCATGTGCGTCATTGTACACACTGTCCACCTTTGGCGTTCCCATCCTGGATTCTTGGAGGACATGATATGATGATTCGACTGTACACATTGTTGGAGGATAAACGAAAGATCGATGGCTGTTACATAGTGCGACACGGGAAATGGCGCGCCACGATTACTGTAGTACAGACTACCGCGCCAGGATCACAAAACATATACACTCCTCAATGAGAGTTGTGGCTTGATAGAAACTTCTGCAATGTCCTCATCGAATATTCGATGACCATCGAATATTCGAATTGATGCCAACGAATTATTCGAATATCGAATAGTATTAGAAAGTTGAAATTTTCCAAATTCGACTTCCGAATAATATTCGAAAGTTGAGATTTTCGAATATTCGTATATCTCGACTATATTCGAAAACTGAAAATTTGAATATTCGACTTTCGTATTCTATTCGAAATCCTAGATTTTCGAATATTCGACTTTTCGAATCATTCGCATACCACGAAACTTCCAGAAGAAGCAGGCGTAGCATCAGCCACGCTCCGAAAATTTTTTTTATAAAGCTAAAATAAATTTTTGAAAAACTGAAAAATATTCTTAATAACTACTACAAACAAGTCACTTGCACATTTTTGAAATGATGTAAGTAACTTTAAAAAATTTCGGACCCCGGGAAGGGGGGGGGGTGGGTGCTTTGAACTATATGGAACTCGCATTCCTTGCTCCAACAATACTTGGAAGATAAGACTTTCGCAATCAAGAAAGTAGATCAAAAACTTTGCTTTCACACTGTTGATTTTGAAGAAATAAAGTTATGTTATCCTTGTGTACTTCAATCACTTTCTCACTGAAGAAGAGTTTTTACAGCATAAAAATTCATAACAACTGCTTTCTCTTCAGATCGCTCAGTAATGGGAAGTAAAATATGACGTTTTCTACCGTATAGACTAGCTGCCAACCAATCAACTTTATCGACTTTTTGAAAACTTTGAGATATGGGGTTGGGAGATGGTACAGGCGGGTAAGTGAGTGCGGTGATTACGAATGAAAATCTAATTCATCAATTTTACCGATTTTTGAAAAACTTTGAGCTACGGGGCTGAGAGTTGACACAGGTGGGTGAGCTGCAAAAATTTTGAGCTGCCGAGCTGGGAGTTGGCACTCACTAGGTGGTGAGGGTTCATGATTATGAATGAATCGACTTCAGCCGTGTTTGTCAGCAAGTTTTATATATGTTTGCTCTGGATATTCGATAAATAATTCGAATATTTATTCAAAATTTGACTTTCAGTTTTCGAATATAGTTGTTATTTATTCGATTTTGATTTTCGAACTTCATTCAGAATCTCATTCAAAATTTTCTTTGAATTTATTCGCATTTGTTTATTCGAAACTTTTTGCTCTCGAATTTGTTCGATATTCATTAAGTTGATAAAAGTTTCGAATTTTCCCAAGTATAGTGCAAAGTCTGGTCCGGATCAGTCCAGAAATGGAATTTGAAAGTACCATGGAATTCCAGATTGCAGAGAGGGCGGGCGAGCGCATCAGTGGCGCGGTTATCCAATTTTCTCCAATCTTGATAGAAAAGTATTTTACGGTTTTTCTTCAATCTTGATAAAAAGTATGAGTGGATTAATGCTAACAGAACAAGTTTCGAAGGCACTGAGAAAGCGGTATGTAGGTTTTGCTTGGAAACGAAACTCAGCTAACCGTGTTTTGCATGCACCTTTCCCAAGCGTACAATTTCAGGAGTTTGATACCGTTGAGAAGTTCTGACATCATTTTCATCCGCTCGTCTTTATGACTCATCTGTCGAGCCTGAACAAAAGCAACAGTAGTTATTCCATTTTTGCAACGTTTATGAGATATAAGATGATATGAGTTGCCTGGCAGTTCTTCATCTTCCCAGTAATGTAAGAATTGAATGGCACAATAACGATCAGTAACACCAATCCCGAGATAACAGCAACTCCGAGGATTTTCCATAAAAAGATGGCAGATAGAACAACCTAGAGAGGAAGCTTCAATAAATTGGTTGCAACAATTGTTTTATCACATTCACGACAATAAGACCTTTCAGTACGTAGCAGGCGTACTGTCGTTTATGCTACCGGTATGTTTCCGGACATATGTTGAATAGTCCTTATGACATACGTTAGACATAGGTTAGACAAATTAAATCATAGAACCTTCGAGGACTGTCTCCTGTCACTTGTCAGGGAAAAAAATCAACACGTTCTGGTTCAGTTCGACATGTCTACAAGTTTCCGGTGAGATACGAGAGTATTTTGGATGACTCAGGGGCAGCTGGCTGTTTTGTATGAACACAAAACGGTCTAGCAAAGAAAGTGTTATTATTGTTATTATTATTATTATTATTATTATTATTATTATTATTATTATTATTATTATTATTATTATTATTATTATTATTATTATTATTATTATTATTTATTGCGTAGGAAAATCCTTTGCATATTACATTAAACAGAACACGAAGTCTAATCAACAACACAAATCAACACAACAAATCAGATCAAATCACACAAATCAACACGACAAGTCAGAAAGGCCTAACAATCGTATGAAGGAACTACGGCGAAAGAAGATAGTTCTCAAGAATCATTTTGAACTGAGACAATTTGAAAGGAAGCATACTCTTTCTCATCAATTTATCTAGATCGCCGCTGACTCTGCTCCTTCATAGCCTGGAACCTAGGCCTAGTGATGTCGAAGCCATGTTTTCATAGTTATCCCTCTCGAAAACACTTTCAAACATGTCGGCAACCTTCAACTTTATCTAAGTCAGATATCAAAATTTCACCCGTTTTTGAGTAAATGACTCCTATCCTGTTTTTGGACTTGAGCCTTCGGTTTAAAAGTTGATAGAAAGCTGACTTATTTCCTGATTTAACTATCTTCCTTTCTAGATAGGCGTTATATCTTTTTAGTCTTTTTTCTAGCCTTACACTGGTTGCTTTGAAATGTGCCAGATCTCTTTCTCTACCGGTATTCGTAGCTTTGTACTAAGCTTTCGTCTTAAAATGGGAAAGTCTCTCTATGTTTGGGGGCACTGTATACTTGCCCACAGGTACCATTTTCGTTGGCACAAAATGACCGATGGTATGGTGAAGTATAAATATGAGTAATTCATACATTTCATTGACTGTACTAGCTGCACTCAAGGAACCACTCCAGTCAATCATTTCTAAGTATTTCACGGCACCAACCATGTCAGCCTTTTCATAGTCCCTTCTCAAAATGTAATTTTTTGGACCTCACCGGTACTACTCAACCAAAAATTAATGAGTGCGTGATCGCTTGAACCAACAGGTGGCTCAAATGTAACATTAGTCACCAGCCCTTTATCATTGGTAAAAACCAAATCCAGTATACTCTTACCCAAGGTATACATTTGACTTTCTGTATAAGCTGATGACTGATGCACATATTCAGAAAATTTTTTGCCGCGACATTGGCCCGTAGTAAAGCTCGGTCATGGGAGATTATCTCCCCTGAGACCTTCATGTGAGGTTCTGTCAGTAAAATGATGACCGCCCCTTTCCCCATGCTATAGGGATGCAACGTCACCTGAGAGGTGAGCCTCAGGTGAAGTTCGGCAGGGAGATGATCTCCCTGCCGGGTCATGGGAGATGATATGAGCGATGATGTCCAGAAATAGTGTGCTAAAGAGGAAACGCAGAGAGGACTCCCGTAAGTTGCTCCTGAGTAACTTACGATACACACCAATTTTGCCTAACACTGCAGACAAAATCGGCGCAAAACTGCACAACCGCGCTCGAAAAGAAGAGGATCGATGAACAGCTGATTTTGGCGAGGAAGACAAAAAAAACAAATTCTTCTCTTTTTTGTAAACTTTACTGCTTTTTTTGAAGCTGTCCAAAACGAGGACTCATTTGTTCATTTCATTGAATTCACGTTGCAACCATTTCGTTTTGTCGCAAAATTTTCGTAACGAAATGTTTTTTTGTTTTATCTTTGCGTTTGCTAGGCGAAATCCTTGATAGCGGTCATCATCGATTGGATAGTGGCCGCTATCAAAAATTGCCCTGCGATGCAGCAAAAGTTGTGTCGCTAAGCGGAGTCGAACCACTGCCGCGCGCGTGTAATTCCAGTGGCTTATCCATTTAACCAAATCAAATCAAGTGGCCGTTTTTTCGAGAACGCACTTGATTATGATGTCCAGGAAGCGATCTGCATCCAGATCAATAGCTCGCCGGATGCTGGACTGAGCCGCCAAGATATCAACTCCGGTCCACCTCAAGGGAGATGCCCTGACCGTAGTTTACTACGGGCCATTGCCTTTTGGTACCTCAAAAGTGTCCCAATCGATAACGGGCAAGTTGAAGTCCCCTAGTACTACGGATGGATAGTCACAAATTATTAAATCAAACTGCTTTAGTCATCTGCCACAAGGCCGAAAACATACCTCACGCGATTTCAGTCGCGACGCGATTTGGCAATACTCCAACTGGTCATAACTCATCGTAAGGGGTTTCTGATTGTACGGAAGATGGGGCATTTTATCAAACTTCGAAAGTTCTACATGCTGTGCCTGTGAGGTCTACCAGTATTGTATTTGAAGACATCTGGCAAATTGCCAAATCGCGTGGACTGAAATCGCGTGAGGTATGCCTTGGGCCTAACGCTCTATTAGGTCAAGAAGGTGTTCTGTAGACAAAATCAATCGAACTTTCTTACTCTTGGTTAAGATGTCAACACATAAGACCTTGTAACCATATGTAACCGATTCACTAAAAATAAGTTGGGGACACAAGGACCTAGTTATCAAAAAAAGCGACACCTCCCCCTCCTTTACCTTTACGGTCACACCTGTACACTTCATAAGTAGAGCATAGATCACCGAAAAGTGATGCATTGCTGATATCATAGTCGTCCACCAACCAAGTTTCTGTAAGTCCTATTACGCTTGGTGAATTACCATAGAGGAGGAATCTGAGACTATTTATGTTTTTCTGCAGCGATCTAATGTTTGTAAAACACAGGAGAGAGCTATCAACTTTCCAAAGAGGCTCTATGCGTTTAAAGAATCAAACACTTGCGTATGAGAAGTGTTGCTAGTCGATACATCCATGTGACTATGATCTTGATTAGAAACATTGACATTGCTACAATCGATATCAGTATCAATACGTTTGAGCCCCTCACAAGTTTATAATTTTCTCTCTCCTCCCTCGACATAGATGGTCTAATGTAGATACCCCTCTTATACGGGAAGTTCTTCATCAAAGGAGCGCGTTCAAGCCAATCTAGCAAAAAAAAGACGGTAATACTACTTTCAATAATCGATTATGAGAGTGACTGGGGTTGCCCATACAATATGACATGACGGGAAGACACTCAATATCCAAGAAGTCAAGAACTGACCTAAACAACTGTTGTCGTGCCTGACTGCAGTTGCTTGACCTTTCATGGCTCTCAGGTACTCCAATAAAAACCAAAAATCTTCTTTTTTCGTTGTCCTCCATTCGACTATCCAAGTATACTTGGTGACCGTGACCATTTATGGTGAGGTTTGTGTAGATGCGCCTTTAAATGATGGTTCGAAAACTGCCTTCCGTATTTACGAAACGATTATTTGACTGCAGTTACGATTATTTTTTCTGAAAGAAGCACTGCCAGAAAGCTCAAATTTAATTGTAAAACTATCTCGCTTTTCTGAATGATAAATTTGGATCAATCAGCTTAATTACAAATTGTTCTCTGTCTAAAATTTTGTTCCAGAGCATAATACAGTAATTTAGGGCCGCACGCATTAACCGCACTGGGGAGGGGATCGCAGCTTAAATGAAATCTTCTTATCCTAAAGCCCCAGATATCCGGACTTCACGCTGTCTACCTATCCGTAAATTTCCGCCATCCTTCACTATGAACATATAGAACAGAAGCGAGAAGCTGTACATGCAGCGTATTCCAGCTTCTGTATGATTCCCTAATGATCCCCAACGGCCAATCTTCTTTTCATCAAATCATTTTTCTTTTCAGAGTTGTACCGATTATTTAACCCAACGCTGTCAGGCATGTTTCTCATAAGAACAAATGTTGTTGGAATCATGAAATTTGCGATGAACCACAACTCGAAAGTTGGGGTTTTCGAAAAAATTGACACTTTAAAACTTATTTTCTTCAGCAACATGCTTAGCACTGTCGGGTTAGACGAACAGTACAACTTTGGAAGGTTTTCGTTGACTTTCAAGAAAGAAAAATGACTGAAGAAAGGGGGTCCGCCACCGGGGATCATCAGAGGATCGTACATAAAGCTGGAAAATGCAGCTTGTACAGCTTCCTGCTCCCATTCAATATGTTCATAGTGGAGGATGGTGAGAATACCTACGGATAAGTTATATGGCGTGTAATCCACATATATGGAGCTTCAGAATATGAAGCTTTCTTCCAAGCTACGATCCCCTCTGAGGAATCTAATGCATGCGGCCCTTAGACTGAATACTGGTGATCTAGACTACAGAAACGCATAAATCTCCCCCTAACAAGGGAAGGATACTTGGTGACCGTGGCCTTTTGAAATGGAACGTAAACCATCAAAGGCAACTTGAAGCGCTGATTCCAAATCTGCTTTCGGTATCTGCTGTGCGCTTTTCCGAAAGAAGTTATGAGCATTTCTTGCCACAAAAATTTGCACTGTTTTTGATCCAGGATTCACCAATATCGTTGGAATGCTCGCTTATGCACTATAAAAGAGCGTCAAAATGAAGTAAAGCTTCACGTTAAGCTCAGGAAAACTGTTTCCGATATATCACAGCCTAAAAAGCTTGGATACTGACGATTCTACTGCCTAAATCTCACAAAATCTATATGGAAAAAGTCCATAATTTCGTTCAGAGACTCGCGCAGCAGATAATGAACATAGATTTGGAATCAGCATTTTAAGGCGCATCTACTGGTATGCATCTCATTGCAAGAAGCCACGGTCACCAAGTATCCTTCCCTCGTAAGAACTATAATTCCC